AACAGTGGGGCGCTTAATGGAAGGCTATGTATTGATGCACTTAATGTAAGACGTCTAGTGGGAGATAACTTGGCCTTACTGGTCCAAAGTACTGCAACACTTATTTGTGGAATAGTGATTGCAATGGTCGCGGACTGGAAGCTTTCATTGGTAATCTTATTCGTAATTCCTTTAGTGGGTCTCCAAGGTTATGCTCAAGTGAAATTCCTACAGGGGTTCAGTCAAGATGCTAAGGTGAGCTATAAATTAGACTTCTAGACTTTCCTTCTCATGTTCCATCCTTCCAGCTACAAATATGCCAATCATGAAATGTTATACTGTTATGTTGTTCCCAATAAACCATAAATTATTATTTCCACAAGCTGAAACTTAGATTTGATAGATCCTTCATGCTGGCAAAAGGAAGACAAGTAATCATAATTAACAGTAATCACTGAATTAAATGTTGTCAATAATGCTTAGTTTTTCTATTGGATGTGGTCATGTGGATGACACTTATGGTATTTTTCTTCCCTTCTCTGATTTTTACTATCGCATCTGGTATGTGCTTGTAGATAATGTATGAGGAAGCAAGTCAAGTTGCAACTGAAGCAGTTGGTAGCATCAGAACAGTAGCATCATTTTGTGCCGAGAAGAGAGTGATGGACAAATACAATCAGAGATGCCAAGCTTCTAGGGATCAGGGAATTCGAACTGGAATAGTTGGAGGCCTTGGTTTTGCTTTCTCATATATGATGCTATACGCCAGTGCCGCTCTTTGTTACTATGTTGGTGCAAAGTTTGTTAGTCAGGGCAAATCCACTTTTGGTGATGTCTTCAAGGTAAGTAATAATCATTGTATTTTTACCTTTTGGTGAATATATTATTTGCTATATGTATGTTTTGTTGGAATGCAGGCTTATTTTGCTTTAGTTATGGCCATGATTGGAGCATCACAAACAAGTGCTATGGCTTCAGACTCAGCCAAGGCAAATGATTCTGCTATTTCCATATTCTCAATATTAGATAGAAAATCCTTAATTGATTCCAGCAGTGAAGAAGGTTCCACCTTGGAGAATGTCAAGGGTGACATTGATTTTAAGCATGTCAGCTTCAAATACCCATCCCGTCCCGATGTTCAAATTTTCACTGACTTCACCTTAACCATTCCCTCTGGAAAGGTCAAAACTATACCAGAAATCTAATTTGTCAATCTTCTCTCAGTTGTTATGAGGACTTAATTTTTTATGCCATCATTTTTCTGAGGTCTTACACAGAACCCTTTTATTGCAGACAGTTGCACTTGTTGGTCAAAGTGGTAGTGGAAAGTCCACAGTCATATCTTTGTTAGAGCGCTTCTATGAACCTGACAATGGTGCGATTTTATTAGATAGAGTGGAAATTAGTAGCCTAAAGGTCAGCTGGTTGAGGGACCAGATGGGATTGGTAAGCCAAGAACCAGTGCTTTTCAGTGGAACAATCCGTGACAATATAGCTCACGGAAAGCATGAAGAGGTAACAGAAGAAGAGATTGCCGCAGCAGCTAGAGCAGCCAATGCCCATGAATTCATCTCAAGCATGCCACAGGGGTACAATACAACTGTTGGAGAGAGAGGAACACAACTGTCAGGTGGCCAAAAACAGCGAATAGCTATCGCGAGGGCAATCTTGAAGGACCCAAGGATACTTCTTCTGGACGAGGCAACAAGCGCATTAGATGCTGAATCAGAGAGCATCGTGCAGGATGCATTAAATCGTGCTATGGTTGGCAGGACAACTGTCATTGTGGCACACCGCCTCTCAACAATCCAAGGAGCTGATATGATTGCAGTCCTAAAGGATGGCACAATTGTGGAAAAAGGAAGACATGAGACGCTGATGGGCATTGCTGGTGGAGCCTATGCTTCACTTGTGGAACTTCGCACCATGTAATATAATACTCCCTCCATACTCAAAAATAAAGTCGTTTTGGACAGCGACACGGTCTCCAAAGTATTACTTTGACTCCTTGTTTTTATAAAAATATTTATCAAAAAGTGATATATGTATATTTTTATGAAAGTATTTTTCAAGACAAATCTATTTATATGGCTTTCACATTTCCAAACTCAACAACTTAAAAGTTATTCATGATTTATATTCCCAATATTTGACCCAAGCCTTGTCCAAAACGACTTTATTTTTTAGTACGGAGGGAGTATACAGTTCTGAGCTAAGCAATTGATGGCAATTCTCTTGTCAAGATTTAACAGTTTATGAAAGAATTTTTGGTTACCACCTATAAGTTTGCTAGGGGTAGGGTAGGGTAGGGTACCCATTGCAGTTTTGCACAGTGTTCCCAATCCTGTATTTAAGTTATCAAAGAGCTAAGTGTTGAGTACTACAATGATCAATACTATCTAGAACACTTGTTAACCAAACAAGTATAAACAACCATATGGATCACTTGCATTGCATTTACCTTGAAAAGCATTTAAGTTCAAGAAGCTATACCTACAAATGCGAACTAGCAAAAACAAAAGATTTAGAACAGTGGCATGCCTGTGAAATCACGAAGAGGAATGGTTGTCGCCTCATGTGGGACGAATCATACTGTCAAACGCCATAGTGCAATCTGCAATGAGAACAATTACCATCAACAGTAACTCAATCTCTGTTTGACGGCCCGTTTGCATTACTTCTGGCGAAACCCGGAAATGGTAGCCCCTAGCCAGGCGGTAATTCGTACTACTAGGCTATCAAATACCGAACCGCTGAAGCTCATTAATCATCAAATCAGTCCAGCAAAAAAAAAAATTCAGCGCCGTTCATTTTGATTCGACCTGGCTCCGCGCATACGACCTCAGCGGTGGAAATCACAGGAATGCGATAAGAACTTCAGAAGGGCTAAAGTCTTAAGGCCATACCGCAGGTAGCGTACTCGCGCGCGCGGGAGGAGACGAGGAGGTGTACGGCGCGGCCATGCCGGATCCGCGGTATAGGCAGGCCCGAAGGGAAGGGAAGAGCCTTGCAGCAAGCGCCGGACGCGAGGATCGCCGCTGGTCGGAGTCGGGAGTGGGACCCGCGGGCGGGGACGACCGGCCGAGGGGTTGTTGGGCCGCCGATGGTAATGGGCTAATTGATAGGCTGCTAGCTTATGCTTTTCGTTAGCCCAGGCCCACTAATGCTTTCACCTTATGAGCATGGAAACGGGCAAACGGCATCTGGGCTCCCGCCACCACCTGTGAGGCTGCCCGATGCCGGCCACCGCCACGGTACAGCGCCGCCGCCGCAGCCCGAAGAAGTTTCCCTACAGGCCAAAGCCCCCGCCGGAGCCGCACCCTTTCCTCCTCCGCCTCAAGTCCCTTCCTTCGCCCGTGGCCGCCGCGGCCTCGCTCCTCTCCGCGCCGCGCCACCTCCACGACCACCCTTTTTCGCGGCGTGCGTGCTGTACCGCCTCGCGCGCGCGGCTCTTCCCGCTCATCCCACCGCTCCTCACCGCGCTCCGCTCCCTCCGCGTCCCGCTGCAGCCCACGGCGTTCGCCGCCCTCATCGACCACCTCGGCGCCGCCTCCCGGCCCGACGCCGCGCTCCTCGTCTTCCGCGCCGTCCCGGCCTTCTGCTCCCACTCCAACGCCACGTTCCACGCCCTCCTCCACTCCCTCGTCTGCAACTGCCGTGTGGACGCCGCGCGGGACATGCTCCCGGAGGCCCCTAAGCTCGGCGTCCGGACCAACGCCGTGTCCTACAACATCATCCTCAAGGGCGTTTGTCACCGGGACGGGTTCTCGGGCGCACGCGTGGTGGTCGACGAAATGCTCGCCCGCGGCGTTCGCCCCACGGTGGTGACGTTCAATACGCTGGTGGGGTCGGCGTGCCGGGAAGGGGAACTGGCCGCGGCGGAGCGGCTCGTGGACGAGATGGCGCGCCGGGGTGTGGCACCGAACGCCGTGACGTACGCCCTGTTAATGCAGGGGCTCTGTGATGCAGGGCGGTATGACGACGCCAAGAAGCTCTTGTTCGACATGGAGTACCGAGACTGCCAGCCCGACGTGACGAACTACGGCGTGCTGATTAACGCACGCGCGGCGTGCGGGGATGCCGGCGGCGTTAGGGGGCTGATCTCCGACATGCGCAAGCGGAAGCTGACGCCTGACGACGCGAGCTACAACGTCCTGATCAGGTGCCTCTGCGACGCCGGCAGGGTCGACGAGGCACATAGGGCGCTGGTCGAGATGCAGCTCAAGGATGGCACCGTGCCGAGCGCTGCCACCTACCGCGTCCTCCTCGACGGGTGCTGCGAAGCGCGCGACTTCGACCTGGGTCTGCGGGTTTTCAACGCGATGCTGGCGAGCGGCCATTGCCCTCTGGCTCCCACGTTCAGGCGCCTGGTGGGGGGGCTCGGCGAGGACGGCAAGGCCGAGGAGGCCTGCTTCGTCTTGGAGCAGATGGGGCAGAGGGGGATGCGGCTGGATGCACAAGGGTGGCAGTCTGTTGCTGCATGCGTTTGCATCAGCAGCAGCAGCGCAAGTGAGATGAAGCTCGTCGATCATCTGGTGTCATCATCTTGACACTCAGTTCGAGTGACATTGTTCTGCTGCTGTATTTGACTTTGATAATCATCAGGAGGCAACCGCTGAATGTATCAAAACTTCTCTCTTTTTCGGCTTGTATGTTGCTCGTTTCACGTTAGAATTTAGCTGAGCCTAAGACATCCTCTCGAGCTCTCCATTTTTGACCCAGGAAAGCCAAACTATATTATGGATTTTGAGCCACTTGCAATAGAGGCCCGCTAAAGTGAAAGATTACTGCTGATGTGCTGCATAACCTAAACGGTTTCTGTGTCAGCAAACGCAATATCCTAACCATTTTCTAAATAATGCCCTCTGCAGTTCACTCTGAAGTGCAAACAGAAAGAAAAATTGAAGCGGTTGATCAATGAGACATTTCTCATGGGCAAAGATGTACAAGAGATTTTTTGACAAAAAGGTTTATATATTAAGTCAATAGAATTCGTGTACAAGCCAAATCCTAGCTATTCCTTATACAGATTTCCCAAAGAAATAAGCGACTGCACAGCCAACAAGTGCTCCTGCAAAAACCTGCAGTGACAAAAGAAAGAGAATGAAAACAATCTCAGGTAGAAAATAGAAATGCAGAAACTTAACCCCCTAGATATGCAGCAACTGACAATTCAACAGTTGTATTAAGATACACATGCACCTAAAAATACTAGCCATGGGCCAAGAACCAAAGATTTGTTTTCTTGGTTAGCATGAAATATTCCAGATTAGATTCTGGAATACAAGGCACAGTTAAGGAGACGCATTTGACCTGCAATGCAACATTTATAATAGAAACGGGCACCAAATCAAAGATGGATCATTCCACCACCAAGCTTCATTTCAAGAAGAGAACGCAACAAATACCATATTAACTATGTAAGGAATAGATGTAGGGATGCAAATGGGGGTTTATACTCGAACCCACAAATAGGCCACTCTTAAGCGGACGGATCGCGGACCACTTGCATCCATGAATAGAAGATAGGAGTATGTAGTAGAGCTACCTGAAGTGGACTGTGTCCAAGAGGTTCCCGTAGTGGCCTAAAGGTTGAAATGATTGGATGTTCTGGTGGGAAATCACAGACTATTTGATTCAACAACTGCAACAAAAGTTATTAGACTTAATTAGAAGACAGGCACCAATAGATAAAGTGGCAACATTCAACTGACAACACTGTGCAATAGAACAGTGCCTTATGCTTGCATTATCCATGGAAAATCACAAGCTTACCGCAGCTTGGCGACCTGTGTGCCATCGAATTCCTGATGCATCATACATTACCTATATGAAGAAAATGTAAGCTTAGGACATATTTTTTTTTTAAAAAAGGCAGCTAACATTTATTTATCTATAGAAAAGGGCTCATGTGAATATGCTTGCAACAAAACCTAGCTATTTTTACATTCTCTTTTTCCTAAATAATGATAAAATACTTAAGTAAACCAGGGGGAAACATATTAGTCATTAGTGCAGAAACTGCCTTAAAATGCAAATCCTGGCATGGTTTCAGAGCGAGTGATGGCACCAGCGGACATCAGCTGGCATGGTTCCAGAATGCAGAAGCTCTTATCCACAAATATAAAGAACTTTGTCAAATTGACATGCTAACGGCTTTGGCATGAAAATGCATGGAAATGTACAACTGAAACAAAATGAATGTTGGCCACTAGTGCAAGTCAGCCACTGCCATAAAGGATGTCCATATTCATCATAAATAAAGTGGATGTGGAGCAATGTCAACATTATTATCTCCGATTATTTAAAAAATAGGAAAGAAAGAAAGGAACATGCCCATGCCCAGCAAGGCTAATAGATCAACTATTGGTTGAATTTGTACTAAAAACCCTACTTTTATAAGCAATAGATGATAAATAAAAACTACTACTGTGTAGGAAGGAAATTAGATGGCAACATCTACAGAAAAGGAATGCTTCAAAGGTTGCAACACCCACATGCTTACAAAAAGAAATTCATGAGACCTGATTGATTTTAAGTACATACAACGGCAGCAAAAACCAATGCGAGGGCAAATGCAGAGCTATCTGCGCCTTCTTGTTGACCCACAGCGACGGCCAAGCTCCCCACAGTTGCAGAAAGAGATGACATGACTCCAGCTGAAGTAAGAAATTTCCTTGCATCCCACCTCTTCTCTTTTAACCTGCAATGTCTAGGAAGAACAAATTACAGATTACTGGAACGGCACTGAAAATTCTCTAGCTTAAAAACTCAATAGCTTAAAATCTCAATAGTTCTGAACATCCAGCTATATCCAATCAGCCTAGCGTTAATGCCGCATAGTCTCGTTTAGAAGTAGTTACTGTTAAAAACATATCTAGGGGGTTAAGTTTGCAATTTGGCAAGTGGAAACAGTACAATCGAACTTTCAAGCCAGTAGTGCAATCAAAACTCATGCTGTGTGGCCGAAACAGGAAGTACCACTCTCGTGCAACATGTCTGTCAGGTGTCAGCCTTGCCCCAGTGTCATACTCGCATAATGACAAGAGTGATTCCTAACAAATCAGAGTTACTGCCATAACCCATGAGGTTACTGACGTGCTATACAGATGGCAATCTTCTCTACATCCTTACAACAAATGTCAGCGTTCATCACCAGCTCGATATTAAGCTTCGTGAAAGTAAAGTACATTCCTTGCTTCCACAACACATCACACGAGAGGAAACCCTCAATCCAAGCCTTCCGCAGGAGAGCGAGAGAAAAAAACAAACAAACAAACTTTCCCGGGCCAAACCCCAACCCCGGTCGCAACCACCACCACCTAGAACTCGAACAACCAGCTATATCTAACCAGCCCTGCGTTAATACCACAAAGTCTCATTGAGATGTACTTACTGTTGAAAACATATCTAGGGGATTCAGTTTGCAATTTCGCATGTGGAAACAGTACAGTTGGACTTTCAAGGCAGAAGCAATCAAACCCCATGCTCTGTGTGTGGGAAGAAACAGGAAGTACCACTCTCGTGCAACATGTCTCAGCCTTGCCTCAGTGTCATACTTTTTAATTGAATTTAGAAAAGAACATAATGACATTAGTAATTCCTAACAAACTGAGTCACTGCCATCCATACAGATGGCGTAGTCTTCTCCACATCATTCCAACAAATGTAAAAGTTCATCTCCAGCTTGAAATTAAGCTTGGTGAAAGCAAAGTTCATTCTATCAATTTCAGGGGCATCATGCCTGTTCATGTGCCTGCAGTGTGGAATCTGAAAAATCCACCTCGGGTACACCTCTTTCTCTGGCTATTGTCGAAAAACAAAGTCTTAACCAGGGACAATCTTAGTGCTTGCAGGAAAGTTGATGACATGTCTTGCTTGTTTTGTAAGGAGAATGAGTCTGCTGTTGCTCATCTATTTTTTGATTGTGTAGTTGCCAAACGTCTTTGGTGCACTGTTTCTGAAATTTTGGGAAGGAATGTAGGTTTTGATTTCCTCTCTATAGCTCAGATGTAGCTTAGCAATAAGAAATTCATTGTGGAAAATGCTTTTTGTGCTGCAGCCCTGTGGGGGCTTTGGAAACTAAGGAATAGCTTATGTTTTCAGGATTCCCGATGAAAAAACGAGCAGTGTTTACTGGTAATGATCTATGGGATGCTGCAAGGGTGGGCTATCCTTTGTCCTGCCGAAAAGAGATCAGAATACCACTCCAAGCTGATGGCGTTGAAAATGTTAAGCTCAAGACTACTGACGATTGGCTGGCGACAGTGAAGGGCCGAGATGATGAACGACTGTTTCACCTGGCACTGGACTGGTCTGTTGGTGCTCCAGCCGAAGTTCAGAACTTACTGATCGATGACATGCCTAAGGTAAGTGATCTTCAGCAAGGAAAGTGGGTTAGCTTCCTTAATAGGAGAGATGAGTGGTTGATGTAAAGAGTGTGCCTGTTGTGGTGCCTTGCTGATTTGCATCCTTTGAGTTTTTCTGGTACCTGAACTATGGGTTGTTACCCGAATGCTGTAAACTGTTGGTCTTTGTTCTAAATGCAATGGCCGGGGCTCTGCCCTTTAACTCTAAAAAAGCAAAGTTCATTCCTTGCTTCGACAACACATCACACGAGAGGAAACCCTCAATCCAAGCCTTCCGCAGGAGAGAAGATAGAAAAAAAACTAAACTTTCCCGAACCAAACCCCAAACCTGATCGCAACAACCACCACCACCACCTGAACGCGACCGACAGGGGACACGGGAGCAATCGCGTCGGAAGCAACGACCAAGTATCGATCGCCCCGCGCGTTAGATTTAGATCTAGGGAGAGGGGAAGGGGGAACGCACCAGATGGAGAGGAGGTTGACGAAGTTGGCGAAGGCGAAGGCAAGGAGGGCGACGGCGAGGGCAAGTTGCCTCCGCCGCCCCCCGCCGCCAATAGCGCCCGAGCCCCCGCTCCGGCAACCAGGTCCACCGCCGCGGCCACCCCGAGGTGGCCGTGGACGGGGCCGTGCCGGCGCCCCCCGCGGCGGTCAACATCTCGCTGCCCCTCATGGCGCTGGGTTGGTAGTCTGGCTCTCCCGGCTCCCCTCCGTTCCGCGCCTCGTCTCGCCTCGTCCGTCGCTTCGTTCGTTTGTAGGGTCGGGACTCGCCGACTCGGGTTGGTGCTTGCTGCCTGCCGGTGGCGTCGTGTCTCGCGTATTCTCTGCGCGTGGGGCTTCCTTGCCAGTGGGTGCACGGCCGTTTGTCTCCGCGGGTTCAGCCAAGTCACGAACGACTCCACTAGTGTGGTCAGCTCAAGAAAAAAGGAAAAAATAAATAAATTGCAAAGGCCGGTACTTAAAGTATTGGACAGATTCATCTACATCATCAAACTATGAAATCACACGTCTAGCTCTCTAATGTGTTTAAGTGATCTCATCCAGGTCCAAAATAGACGTGATGGGGTTAGAAGCTGACGTGGTCGTCCACGTGAACATGAGTTACGCAGAAACCTCTGAGCTGAGTGCCCCACGGTCCATGGCACGCAGGGTGGCAGGCGCATCAGCGCGACGCGACGGCTCAGCCGGCCGGCGGTGGGTTCGCCGGCTGCCGTATAGTGGCCGGCGGTCTATGCTACGCGTGGACGCATACGTTGGCGGCGGGGCGACGTGACACTCCACGCACCGTGGCATGGCTAGCCATGGGCCGCGACCATGGCAGCATCGGTCATCGGTGTGGCGAGGCCGTTCCGATGAACGGGGCTATGACGACTGAAAACGGCGGGTGTGCACAAAGGGCTTACAGCGGACATAACCGAGGCGGCGGTTGAGGTGGAGGAAGTCCGAGCAGGGCTGGACACGTGCGAATTGGCAGATGATGCGTTCCGAGACTAACACGGCGGCGTCATGTCGTCGACGATGAGGTTTCTGGCCAAACTAAGGAGAACATCGTAACAAGGAGGTCAAGGGCAGTCCACCGGTGCAAGGAATTGAACTAATTCCAAGGATCGAGACTTACCCCAAATCGGCTAGGGATTCGGCAGGGAAACGACCGGCGGCGAGGGAAACTCCAAATTCGTCGTCTACATGTCACGACCGACTCTCGATGTGGGTGGGGCGGCTAGGTAACTCCCACGGCTGCTTATTGATGGAAGGAATTGGGTTGAGATTCTCCAGGCCGTACAAATTTAAAGAACGAAGGAAACTCTGTTTTCGGCGTCAATGGCTCCGATAAGGCTGCCCCCACCATCGTCGTAGCCGGCAGCAGGCTACTACAAAGACCAGCTGCACGCGGTGGTGAGAAGCGTCGCTGGATGCGGCGGACACGAGTACGAAGCAGCCTATGGAGCCACGTCACTGCCCTGCACCATGAGCGCGTGAACCAAAGGAAACCGCGTCGAGAGCCGTGACATCGACGTCGTCCTTGCGCTTCTGAGCCAGTCACCGCACAAGCGCGCACGGCAGACCGCGTCTCGCTCGCCCTCGTGCCACACCTTCACCTCTCTCCCTCGTCGTCGTGCCCATGGGATGCACCCGCGCCGGCCTCGCATCGCCGCTGGCGCCGAGCCGACGTCGAGCGCACGCGCACTGGGCGACTGGTGCGCATGGCCAGGTCGCCTTGGTCCACCTCCGACGGAGCCGAGACCACCCACGGGTTCGCCACCGCTCTTGGTTGCTTCCTCGCCACCTTGCCGCCGGCAACTGCCCCAACGGCAGCGGTGGCATGGGGCACCGTCGATGGGGACGTTGTCAGGGTTTTCTGCCTAACTAATGTCCACGTGGACGACGTCAGCTTCTAACCTCCATCATGTCTATTTTAGACATGGATGAAATCACTTAAATACATTAGTGAGCTAAACGTGCGATTTCGTAGTTTGGGGACCCAGATAAAATCCGTCCAATACTTTAAGAACCGGCCGTGCAATTTACTAAAAAAAAGTCCACAAGTGTGGTTATTACAACTTGAAAATAGCAAAATCATGTGCTGCACCCAAGCAACCTTTAGAATGCAGATTTTTCCCCTATTTTGTATATTTTTTATGTGAAAATTAACTGATCTCTATAAAATATATATAAAGATTTTTATAAAATTCCTATGTTTCAAAGTGGCCTTTAAATTATTCGTTTCTGGCTGAACTCCATGATCATTATGGTCTCGGGCCATAATATCTTATACACCATTTACATGTAGGTATTGGAGTCTGAAATTGAGGATCGGAATCATCTCGTGAATTTTGTTGTTTGGGTATCCACGAATTTGAGGTTAGAATTGCAACCTCTCATACTTTTGGTATTGGATTACAATTAGAAGTGGCTTCTCCCAACACAGAGGGAGAAGGCTCTATATTGGTATTGGGTGAAATTGGGCCTCACCTCCCGTGTCTGGCTCTCTCCCAATATGTGCCCCTGATCCTCAGCGCCTCCCTCGCCGGTCGCCCCCGCCATTGCCTCCCCCGCTGACACCGGTCACTGCCCCGACATTAACCTTGCCAATAAATTATTGGAGAGAAACATATTACAATGACCCAAGTTTTTTTCTATTTCGACGCTGACCTTGCCACCTCCAATGCTATTCTATCCACCTTGTCATCCTCCCCTCTAGACAAAATCTTCTCCCCTAACAAATTCACACTTGTTTTAGCGAAGATTTTCAGGTGCTTGAAATATATAGGCATACTTTCCTTTTGGAAAAAAAATCAGTTACAACCTTTTCATATCATTATGTGAGTAGATAAGCAGGGATCAAACCCTCGATTTTAAAAAAGTACTAAACACGAGTTTGAGGTTTCTACATCGTCTTCTCTATACCGTGTTTCAACAGTAAATGGTATTTTCTCTCTTAAGGCATGTACAACAAGGGGTGTATCGACCGACACATTAGCCTCGTCGATCGGATTGAGGAGACAAACACAAGCTCGTGGCTCATTCCATCGATTGGTTGAACAAGCCGAGATTTCTTTTCCCACGCCTCAATATGTCATTCTATCCTGTTATACATATTCAATTGAATAAGCTCTAAACTTATCTATTGATGACTTAACATGATTTATAGATAGGTTTTATTGAGCTTGCTCTTAAGGATTGTTGTGCTCTCCTTCGCCTAATAAAGATTAGATCAATGCAACAAAAGTTGTAGAGAACAGCGTAGCATATATATCATATCGGCCCGTTCGCTTGTATTAAAAATGACTTGTTTGACTTCTTTTTTCAGTCGGAACAGTATTTTTTTCTCATAACAATTCAGTCAGAACAGTATTTTCAGCCAGTTTCAGCCAAATTTTAGACCAGCAAACGGGCCATCCTCGTATGAAATCTTTAGATCTTCCCGCGGCTTCCGTAGGTTCACTGTTCCATCTACAGTCAATCCATCCCGGCCGTTCCTTGGCATCCTTATCCTCTCCACTTCCCGTCTCCCAGACCCGACGCTTCCCGGCACTTCTCCTCCCACCTCCGTCGCTCCCACCCCGCAGAACGCCGCAGCTGCCTCCGGCGCCGCCGCCGGCGGCAGCGCGCCGCCA